TTCTATAGGATATTTTAGCGTAAGAATACCCCTCTTGCTTTGTGCCTCGTCGCCCACGTAGCTGTCTTTTTGACCCATGCCCACCATCACACCCTGGTGACGAGGTCGGCCGACGATCGAGGGGAATACAGCGCGAGGTGCGTCGTCTCCCGCAAATCCGGCCTTGCACATACCGGATCCATTGTCTACGACAAGGGCAGCTACTTCGTCGTCGCACATTGTGTTTCTTGTTTTGTTTTAAAGATCTGTAAAAAAAAATAATCATTTTCCGTTGATCAACTCTTCCTCGACAAAGAAACTCATTTGTCGTTACTCCATTATGCATAATCTTTTGGTTAAAATCTTTTACGGCACTGTTTGCTTCTAGATATTGTTCGATTATATTTTGTAACATATCATTACGATTGTGCGATGGTATTGTAGCTTAAAAAAATATCTCAATAACGTTTTCAGAAATCATCGCTAGCCAGGATTGACCCAGTTGCCTATAAAACGATAGGCGAGCGGCTACAGCGTCGCTAGGTTATTTCCGTGCGGCGGATAGCTAAGTTTAGATGAACGACCAACGGACGCTCCCTAATAAGTTCAAGCAATGTTTATAGTAACCGACGTCGCCCCGGCTTGGCCGTTAAGTGAAAAAGCATAGCTCATATGCCTGGTCGTGCCAAAATTACGCTGTGCTTTAAGAAGGATCGCACTAGCATATGCGGACAAAGACCTCGAATATGTTCAAGCTATTATATGAATTAATTGCAATCTTAGAAAGTAATTCGCAGCAAAAAATGGAAGAATTATAGGTGATATTTTAGCCGAAGATTGATAAAAAGCTTTATTATTTAACGAGTTAATAACTCTTTTCTCTCTATCCTTTCAAAAATCTGCTATTAAATAAATATTACTTCCAGATGTATAATGGGTATTATTTAGAAAGGGAAAAAGAATTAGACAACATTAAGTTACCGCGCTGATTCAATTTCAAAGTGCTTTATCAAATGCCAGAAACGAGCTGATTCTTTCTTCACCTTGATAAAATGCCAAAAAGAATTAGTCTCCATCGAGATCATGTTGTTTGACCTAAGTCGAACCGATCGTTCGATTCTACCTTGAACTTAACTTTCGTTTCTATTAGTTTCGTTAAAATCTGCAGCGTATTAAGAAGCACGGAGGAGAGATCGTTGAACCGTATACATGCACCGATACAATTTGTATCAAATTGATATAATATTAAAGATAAATGATCGAAGTAATATTGTTATAAGGTATGTTAAGACTTGGTACCGTTTAGTATATACATACGTACCGTGCACGAGACAGAGTTGAAGTGGCGTCTGTGCCTTTGGGCGCCGCGGCGTCGAATATATGCTCTCGTCAGTACACCCCCGCATTTTCGTGGAATGGCGAATGCTCGACAGGCACGAAAAAGGCTCGCCTCGCGGGCGTCGCGACGCTCGCCGAACTAGGCGGTTGCGAGATCTAAGTAAGAGATCAATGTATAGCTTCCAAAACTCCTACATCTACATACATTCCTCTTATGACCAACCTTTACGTAGTTAACGATATTTTCATTCTTTTTTATAACTCATTCAATCGATTCAAAATCCTTCAATACTTGGCCCTATCGGACATTCGATACTAAACCAAACCAATTTTCATTTGTCCTATTGAACGTATATAGTATTTAATGGATTTCAGTAAGCTACACGTATTGTGAAGAAATTTTCTTTTTCTTTTTTGATAACGTTGTCGTCTTCTCTCTCTCTCTCTCTCTCTTTCTTAACAAAAAACCAATCGATTGTTTGCTTGTATATCAATTTTCAAATATCGATATATACATATGTATTACGTAAAGTGATTCATATTTGTATTTTTATCTAAGCTCTGGTAAAACAACTTTTTTTTTATATAAAATAAGCAAATGAATACTTGTAGCTGATTACGTTTAAACTTACGTAGGAAAGAGCAAAGAATAGCGAATAAATAATTAACAATTTAGCATTTCATTTCCAAAGATTTCTGAACATTAATTGATCACAGATAGAAAATTAAAAAAAGGATCATTATTTTATAGTTACGCTTATTTAATATCATTATAGAGTAGAATAGCATTTAGCAGTAGACATATCATTTCCACGCATGCACGATCTATATGCAACTTTATTTCTCTATGTTATTATGAACGTGTATATTTTTATTATGTATATATATTATTATATTATAAAGTGTATAACGAATAAACTAATATAGGCGTTCAGATGGCGATCGATGAAATTCATAAATATCATGAGAACCTACTGGAGAATCGATGTGAGTGACTGTTGGTAAAAATAACTCCCTCGTACCTAATTTGGATGGGAGAGCCAAGTTTTGATAAAAGCTACCCCGTGCGGCGAGGCAGCTTTTTTTGGACGTTTGCTTCGCATTCACCCAGATATGCTTTTACTCGAGAGCATGACTATCAATTTTGGTGAAAAAGTGGCTCTAACAATTATTATGAAAATGTATATATGAGAAATATATTGTTGCGTATTTAAATTTGATTTAACTTTTTCATAAATTTCTAATCCGAAATCACGACTGGATTGGACATTTAAAAAAACGCATTTATAGAGGACAAATTTAATTCTAAACTTAAAATCTATATATTACATAATGCGCGTATCTCAAAAGTAAGACAACATTTAGTTAATTACATAGAAATAAAGTAAAGTTTTTAAAGTAAATTTTCTGATTTGTTAAATCAAATAAAAAAATATTGTTGAAACGCATCTCAAAATTCTATTAGGGTCTATAGGATTTATACAAGGAAAGGATAATGATCGTGTTTCAGTATATTAAATCATATTTATAATGTCGCGTGTGAAATGTATATTTAAATTTATATTTGATATTGCATGTCAATTGTGCATAACAATGCAACGACGATTTAGTATATAATATTTACAAAGTAAATTAGAATAAGATCAGATACGTTGGCTTCGTTAACAACCCAGACAGAATGCACTTAATTGTACGATTACAGAGAATATCTTTGACATTAAGACAGCGAGCGATCTTAATTGTAAAGTAATGATCGATCTATTCGTACGCGACTTCTTCCAAATCTCATGTTAATGCAATGATTATTATTGTAAACCATTGAGATTACATTGACATTCTTTGGAATAATACTCATTTCGACATTTCTTCTTAATGCAAAAAGTTAATAACTTACAATAGATTGAATATAGATTGTATTGCTATTTAAAAAAGAAATCTCAAGTAAATGTATAATTCATAAGAAAAAGTCGAATGCTAATAATTTTCTCGATGATCTGTATTTGTACTAGCACAATAGTTCGCATAAATTTGATCTTCTTTTTCAAGAATATTCTTACACGCAACCCAGACGTTAATTCTTCAAGATCTGTGTCGCATTTCTGACACTAGTCGATAATGAATTTAGAAGCACTTGCGGTGGACAATACCAGGACCAGACTCGTCATACTCTTGCTTCGAAATCCACATCTGTTGGAAGGTAGATAGGGAAGCGAGAATGGAACCACCGATCCATACGGAGTATTTCCTCTCGGGAGGTGCAATGATCTTGATCTTGATGGTCGAGGGTGCGAGGGCGGTGATTTCCTTCTGCATACG